GGGGCAGTTCTACTTTATCCTCTAAGGTTGCGATGAGTAAGAACAACTCCATGGCAGTGGGTTTGGTTTTTGGTTTGGCCTGCCCTCTCGTATTTGCCTGAACTTCTCTAACAAACTAAGAGTAAGAGAGACTGAAGAATGACAGAGGAATAATTTGCTCCAGTGGTCATCGTTGGCATGCTCAATAATGACAACAAAGAAAGCATTTAGGTTATTGTTTTGGGAAACCAGAGTATTTTCAGTCCTGAAGTTGGCAAGAAAATATGCCTAGGGGAAAGATAATATTCAAGAAGCCTGTTGTCTCCTTAGCGACAAAATAATCTTCAGTACATCTATCTTCTCATTTGCTAGCATCTGGAAAGAATCAAAAGTTATCTTTGTCTTTGGGTGATCAATAAAACTGCCAGGGCAGCATGAAGACAAGACTCAAAATACTACACAGTATAATGTTTAAGTGACCAAAAGGACATTACCTTCAATGATGCAGCAATTTATCTAATTTGAAGCAAACAACCTTTTTACAGCAACAGGAGCCCAGTGCACAATAGCTGTCTAAAACACTATACCCTGGCAGGAGCTTGAGCCAAAGTAGATAAAATAAAGGAAGAAGTTTATGGCACTTTTTCCCATGTCCCAACAGAGCAGCCTGCTGCCACCCAGCCACTCACACGCCCCCATTGTCTACTCTAATAGCTTAATAAAACAAATCCTCAGGAGGAAAATAGCCACCTGAGAATGGTTCCAAGAAAAATCTGACTTCATAAAGGTTGTTTGCAACTCCCACTGGGCAATGGAGTGCAGGCACTACAATTAGTATGTGCAGTCAAACAATGCCACTTTGAGATTTTCTACAGCCTTTAAGAATAATTCCTTCATTGAAATTACATGAGGCATGAAACCAAGCAGGGAGCTGTGGACCAGGACCACGTCAGGTCACTTAAGAGACTGAGGACAGCTGATGAGGGCTCATGGCAGTAGAGATGGGGACGGCTGGGCTCACTTTAACCTGTGCTGAACAGTGAGCACCAGGCACGTGGACACCTCACAGGTTCCACCCCAGCAGCATATTTTAGAGACTCAGAAAACAGCCTGTAATGAGTAGAAGATCCACACAGAATCTAAAAAGGAACGAGGTAGCTGAGGCCGTACCGAAGGAGAGACTCAGAAGGTCAGAAGGGTAAAGATATGGCAGGATATATTTAGAATGGAAATGCCAAGGTAAGCACTTGGGAGTTACCCTGAACAGACACAACCTGACATGTACTCTACAAGAACATACTTTTATATTCCCATTGATTTTTTAAATATGTATTAAAATATCTTACAGGATTGACTTTTTTCCATTGGTGCACAGTTTTACGAATTTTCAAATATATACACATCTGTGTAACCACCACCAATATACTCCTTTGTGTTATCCTCTACGTTCAACACCTCCTGACCCCTAATCCTTGTCAACCACTGTCTGCTTTTCATCATTATATTGTTGTCTTCAGAATGTAACACAAGTAGAATTAATGCAATATATAATCTTTTGAGACTGGCTTCTTTCACTCAACAATAATGCCTTTGAGATGACCCAAGTTGTTGTGTGCATCAGTAATTCATCCGTTTTTTGTCATCGTTGAGAGTAGTTCCTTGTACGGATGTACCACTGTTTGTTTGTCCATACACTTGTTGAGGAATAGCAAAGTTGTTTCCAGTTTTGATACTTATGAATACCAAAACCAAACCCACTGCTGTCAAACTGATTCTGACTCACAGCAACCTATAGGACAGAACAGAACTGCCCCATAGGGTTTCAAAATCTGTACATCTTTTCAGAAGCAGACTGCCTCATCCTTTTCCTGCAGAGTGGCCAGTGGATTCAAAATGCTGCCTTTCAGTTAGCAGCCAAGCTCTTTCACGACTATGTCATCAAAGCACTCAACTGTGAATAAAACTCACTGCCACTGAGTCAATTCTGACTCACAGTGACCCCCACTGGGCTTCTGAGGCTATAAATCTTTATGGAAGTAGATTGCCCCATCTTCATTCTGTGGAGCACCTGGTAGGTTTGAACCACTGACCTTCCAGTTAGCAGCCAAATGCCTTATCCACTACACCACCAGAGCTCCTTATGTGAACAGAATGGCTAGAAATTCATGCGTATACATGTTTTTGTGTGAAGATAAGCATTCACTTCTCTAAGGTAAATACCTAGCAGTAGTGGTACTATGGAGTCATATATGCAAAGCGTATGTTTAACTTTATAAGAAACTGCCAAAATGGTTTCCAGAATGGCTGTACTGTCTTTATTTCCACCAGCAACATATGAGAGTTCCAGTTGTTCCACATTCTTGTCAGCATTTGGTATTACCAATATTTTTAATTTTAGTTATTGTAATACATGTGTAGTAATATCCCAATATATATGGTTTTAATCTGCATTTCCCTAATGGTTAATAATGGCGAATATCTTCTTCTCATACATTTACTAACTATCCTTGTATCCTTTTTTTTGGTGAAGTGTCTGTTCTAGTTCTTTGCCCATTTTTCAATTGGATTTTCTTATTTTTGAGAGTCTTCTCATATGTCCCGGATGCAACTCCTTTGCTG